GGGGGGGGGGGGGGGGGGGGGGGGGGGAGCTTGCACGCGTCACTCACGCCGCCCCCTCCTCCACCACCACAAGCTAACCGGCGGAGATTACAGGTCAAAGTTCAGCTGGTGCGGGCGGACAATCCGCACAGGAGTGGCGTAGGACTTGACCCAGCGGGCTGGCGCCCCGGGGTACGGGCAGTCGACGAAAACTTCGTCCTCAGACCGGCCGACGTAGATGGCAACATGCCCATCACGACCGCCATGCTCCGGGACATCGATGGACAGGGGGATCTCCGAGTCATCGGTACTGGATGCGTCGCGCGTGCCCGGCAGCCAGCCGACAAAGTCGCCGGCGCGCAAATGCGACGCATCAGGCAGGGTGTTGTACGCGTGCAGGATATCCGTGGCCGTGGGATATGTCGGGAGCGAGGCCTCGCGCATGGAGAGGTGCACCAGCTCAACGGCACCGCCGTGGAAGACCCGGCCGCTGTCGGCAAAGCGAGCCGCGGCATCGGCGACAAGGCGATAACGCATGACCATGTTGGCAGAGGGAAACGAAAGCGAGGAAGGCACTAGATAGCTCGGAACCAGGGGGATGGGGGGGGGGGCGAGGAGAAAGTACGGTGCCACGCAGCGCCCTGGCTGATGCCCGAACTGCGATCCCTTTTAAACCGAGGGATCCCCCGGGCCATACTGCTCGGCTCCCCGCCCCCTCCAGGCGGGGCCGCGCCCTCGGCCTTTTTTGCCAGTCTGGTGATGGGAAATTGGGACTTGATGTGTCCCGATCGAGGCCCAGCGAAAGGGGGACTGGGGCTGGGGAGGGGGGGCGTAGGGGCCAGGTCCCCCCTGCCTGAGCGGGCTGTCTGCCCCCCGCCCCCTCCCCCCTTGCCGCCTCTGGTCGCCCGAATACCAGCGCGTATCAAGGGGCAGGCTCCCGGTGCCCTGCACCCTGCCCTGGGGGGGGGGGGGGGGGGGGGGCCGGCCCGCGGGGGGGCAGCCTCCGGGTGCGATGTGCTAACAGAGCCATGTGTCCCCTCGCGCCGCGGCGCAGACTGAGTGCATGTCGCGGGGCCGGGCGTTCGCCCCCCCCGAGCCAGGCCCGGGCACACTTGGTCTTCGTCCCCGCGCCGGCGGCAAACATGACCCGGCGAAAGTGCCAATAGTGCTCGCCAGGGCGAGCGGGTCATCCGGCGCCGAGGTCGGGCCGCGAGCCGAGCAGCAGGGGCCAGGCGGCGGGGGCTGACGGGCCAAAGGGCGGCCCGAGGCTGGTCCTAAATGGGCGAGGCGAACACTCGCGGGATCACGCACCCTCGGCGTGTGGCCGGTAGCCGGGCCACTCTCATCTCACGACGCTCTTCCGATCTCGCGAGCCGAGCAGCAGGGGCCAGGCGGCGGGGGCTGACGGGCCAAAGGGCGGCCCGAGGCTGGTCCTAAATGGGCGAGGCGAACACTCGCGGGATCACGCACCCTCGGCGTGTGGCCGGTAGCCGGGCCACTCTCATCTGATATCCATGCGCCGGTGGCGCGCCTTCGGCTGCTGACAAATCACCGGCCAAAGTCCCCTACACTGCCAGGCGTCTCAAAAAAACTTGAAGTGCCACCGCTTGGCGCCGCTTTTCCGCGACAGGGACGGGGTGCCTCGTTTGAAAAACACTCTCGCATGCCCTGTGAACTCCCGTCCCCCCTGTCCCCCACCCTGGCCGCTGGTGCTTGTCGCCGGCCAAAGCAAGTCCCGTACCGACGCTCTCGGAGCAGGAAGGGGGCAGGGAACTCACGATGATGCCGCCGCCTCGCACGCGACGCGAGGGGGAAGAGGGCAAGGACGTTTTTCCCCCCCCCCCCCCCCCTTTTTCGAGTAATAATAGTCTTTTTTAGACCGAGAGGCCCCCTTCTTCCGGGGCCTGGCATGCCTGGCGACATTCAGCCCGGAGACGGCGCGCCTGCCCGCCTCTCGGAGGACCCGCGGACGGGAGAAGTCACTGACTGATATTCGACCACTGGGCGGGCGTCCGCCCCCCCCCCCCCCCACCCCCCGCGGGAGTACGCCCGAGCCAGCCCGGGAGGAGCGGTCCCGGCCCTGGGCCTCTGGCCAAAGCCGCGCGAGCTTATTCAATCCTTTATTTACTTCTCCCCCCCTGCTTAGCAAGCTACCAATTATTTAGTCTAGTCCGCAGAGCGCCTGGCGCAATGTGTACGGGCTGATTGCACACGGCGCTCGGGGCGGCCCGGCCGGCCCCCGCCTCCGGGCGCCCCCGCTGGCGGGACTCCGGCGCGCTGGCCCGGGGCCGAGGGAAACCGGCCCCCGGCCCATTTTCGTCGTGACAGAGAGGCAAAGTGAGGGCTGCCTGTTTCATGTGTCGCCGCCCCCCCCCCCCCCCGCCCCTCGCCTCCAGGGGAGACATCTGGCCTCGAATGCCCCAGGGCCCCTTGCCTGGCGGAGCCCGGGGTGCGGGCGGAAGGGGATCGACAGCCGGCGCCGGCAGCTGGCACCTCCCAGGCTCTCACCGACCCCGGTCACCGCGGCGGGGAGACGGGTCCTCCCATCCATCCGCCCCTGTGCGACGATGCGCCCCCGGGTCAACCCGCGGAAGGCCGGGCGCGCGGACCGGTGTCCCGGTGTTGGCGATCTGCCTGGGGAAGGGGGGGCCGCCAACCGAAACGCCCAGCGATCATTCTCGAGAGAAGTGGCCGGGCGGACAGGATCGGCCCGGAGGCCTGGTCTTAGACGCCGGCCCGAGAGCAACACAGCCCCAGAGGGGGGGGGGGGGGGGGGGGGCGAGAGTGGGGCGAGCGTCAAACCCACATCCCCCCCCCTCCCCCCCTCAAAGACGAAGGGAGAGTATGCCCCCATCGGTCCGGAGATGTGAGAGTCCACCCCCCCACCCCCCCAGAGCCCCGGATATAAAAGCCCCCCGACCCTCGGCCAGCTCGGCCCCAGCAAATCGCTAGCCAGCACACTCCGGATTTCTTCCTGTCGCCTGCTCCGCCCCCTTTTCTCCCTCTCCTTCCCGACAATGTTCAAGCCCGCGTCCACCACCCACCTCATCACCCTTGCCGGTTCCACCCTGCGCATGCCCTCCGTCGGCCTGGGCACCTGGCAGTCCAAGGTCAACGAGGTTGGCAATGCCGTCTTCTACGCCCTCACCAAGGGCGGCTACCGCCACATCGACTGCGCCGCCATCTGTGCGTCCCCCCCCCCCTCTGTCACCCCCCTCGCCTGTCGCGGCCACATCCACACACGCACACACACACACACACACACACACACACACACACACATACCGATCCCCACCCGGGGAATTGGCCGACCCTTCTCCACCTCCCCCCTTCCCCTTCCCCACACACACTCACACACACACACACACCGCACCTCAACGCCTCACAGACCAGAACGAGAAGGAGGTCGGTGACGCCCTGACCAAGGCCTTCGCCACTGGCGAGGTCAAGCGCGAGGAGGTCTTCATCACCTCGAAGCTGTGGAACACCGAGCACGACCCCTCCCGCGTGGAGGCCGCCTGCCTGAAGACCCTGGCCGACCTGCAGCTCAAGAAGCTCGACCTGTATCTCATCCACTGGCCGGTGACCGCCGAGGCTGGCAACGTCAACCAGGCCCTGGCCTCCGATGAGTCCATCCTGGCCACCTGGCGCGAGATGGAGAAGCTCGTCGACAACGGCCATGTCAGCCACATCGGTGTCAGCAACTTCAACCTGCGCCGCATGAAGGCCCTCATGGCCGAGGCTCGCATCAAGCCGGCCAACCTGCAGATCGAGCTTCACCCGTACCTGCCTCAGGAGGAGCTGGTCCAGTACTGCCTGCAGAACTCCATCCAGGTGCGTGTGTGCCGCCCGGGCGCGCCATTTATCTCCCTCGGCCTTCCCCCTTGTGCCCGTGCCTCGCCAATGTGTCTGACACCATCCTCCCCCTCCTTCTCCCATGCACCAGGTCACCGCCTACTCTCCCCTCGGCTCCGGCAACGAGAAGGCCCCCCTCAAGGAGCCGGTCATCCTCGAGATCGCCGAGGAGCTCAAGCGCACCCCCGCCCAGATTCTCATTCGCTGGGCCATCCAGCGCCAGACCGTTGTCATCCCCAAGTCTGTCAAGGAGTGCGTCCCCTTACACATGCCTGGCGGGGGGAGGTGTCTTTACATGCATTTGGCCAGAGCTGGCTGGCCCTCCCCATGTGTCCCAGCAAGTGCTGACGTTCCCTCTCCCCACCCCCCCACCCCCCCTCCTTCGCTCTTACCCCCAGGGAGCGCATCGTCGAGAACTTCAAGGTCTTCGACTTCGAGCTGACCGAGAAGCACATGCAGTCCATCGCCACTCTTGGCTCCACCAACCTGCGCGTTGTTGAGCCCAAGAACTTCTGGAAGCTCGACGTCTACGAGGAGTAAGTCTCCCCCCCCCCCCCCCCCCGGTCGAGTCTCCTCCACCTCACCAGGAGCCCCTCCTCTTCTCGGGTCTTCGCTTTTTCTCCCCCGCGCCCCTCCCTGGGTCCTTCGGCTGCCTGGCGCGGCAAGAGGTCCCCTTCCCCCCTCCTCCCCCTCCTCCACCAGCACGGCGACACACGGCCGTGTCTGTGTGTGTGTGTGTGTGTCCAAATACATCAACACTTTCACATGGACATCTTTGCCGATCCGCCCAGTGCTTTTCATTTTGATCGGTGGGACTCCATCATCGCTCGGGATGATAGAGAGGGGAAAGTGCAGGCCGCGGTCCAGAATCCAGGCGACACAAGAGACCAGAGCTAGCAGCGTCCCTTCGCGCCGCCCGCTGCCAAAGAAACAGCCCCTGTCATATTCCCCTGCGGCGTGGCCCCTTCGGGGTTCATCTGAAACGATGCCCGGGGGGGAGGGAGGGGGGGGGGGGATTATCGAACATACCAAGGTGGCCCTGTCACCAAAGGCCTGACGGAGGGGACAGTGCCGCAGAGGGGAGCATGATGGTGCGAAATGGCCCTCCCAACGCATGCATCTTTCGCATGCTCAAGAAGGCAAAGAGGGGGGACTGCTCCCAGGCAGATGACCAATTGGCGTTGGGACAACGCGCCATCGAGAAAGGAGAAGGCCATGAGAGGGGAACGGCCCAGAGATGCCCCCCCCCCCC